ATGGACAGTATGTATAAACATGTAGTAAAGGGACAAAGTTGGGACAATTTAAACAGGTAGTAAAGGGACAAAGTTGGGGCAATTTAAACATATACCCATCTATATGATTACAAATATTAAAGTTAAAGAAACATCAAAGGGATGTTATTTTTAGTAATTTATAAGACTTGTTATTTACAAATACGAAAATAATAAAACTTGTTATTTAATGGACATATTTTGGGGAGTTGTAACTTCTGGCAAACAACAATATGAGGTTAGGATTGAAAATGAAGGATATGTTATGGACCTAAACAATAGGACATGTGGATGTAGATCTTGGCAACTAGCAGCTATCCCATGTGTGCATGCAGTGGAATCGATTTCATACCTCAATAGTGTGACATCCCCATTTTCACGGTCAGAAAAGACCGATTTGTTTATGCTTTATTTTGAAAATCAGAGAATCTTTTAAAGAAATATGTTGCGGAATTTGTTCCCAGAAAAACATGATAAATATTTTATCAAAGCATTTTGAAGAAATGTATTTTATTCCTTTTTAAAACATTGGGATGTCATCGTTAATACAGAAACATAAGCATAAACAAACCTTACATTCATTTACGCTAGTGATCTACATCTCCTTAGTCTCTCAGTGTAATGTAGCTTCGTATCGACACCTGTGATACAAATAAACTGAGTTGGTCAGATTGGGAAACCTGATAAGTACAAAATTATGCTATGATACCAACTGTGACATCCCCATTTTCACGGCCAGAAAATACCGATTTATTTATGCTTATTTTGAAAATCATAGTATATTTTAAAGAAATATGTTATGGAAGATGAGAAGATGAGATCCAAAATTATGGATGGTAGGAGTTTAGTCTCTTCTAAAAGTCAATCTAGGATTTATATGAGAAGATGAGATCCAAAATTATGGATGGTAGGAGTTTAGTAATTGATTTTCTAAACCTACTCACTTTTTTTCGCATGCATTGTTTATTTTGGAAGTTAAGAGTGTTGGGTTATAATCAAAACATCAATCATATGGTGCACATGCAAACCCTATAACTTTGGATTTAGTTTTTCTATTTGTACATGAAATAATCATCCAAAGCTTGTAAACCCTAATCTAGCATAAAACAAAAAATCGAAATCTACATCTAATTAAGAGTTAAGATATTACCTTTGATTGTAGCTTGATGATCTTGAGCTTTTGAGAACCTAGTACCTCAAATGTGATGCCTCTAATGAATCACAAACACTAAAACAATTGGAGAATCTTAGAGAGAGAGAGAGAGAGAGGGGGGGGGAGAGGTAATTTTCGGCTCTTGAATCCTTCTAGGGTTGTGGTAACCGAAATTGTGAAGCCAATGGGTCCTTTATATATATGAGTTGCTTGGGTTTCAGTCAAAACCCTAATTAGATTGCTTAGGCCTTAAGTAGTCCACAAGATCCTTCCAAAAGGCCTCCTATGGACGATTTCTATGTGGGCTTCCCCATAGAATTCATCCATCCCTTCCTTAGGGCTCCTCAGCCCATATTTCAACTATCACATAATTACAATATCGATCCCCTTAATTTAATTAATCTCTTTTGATCACAAAATTAATTCTAAAATAATTATTGATCAATATTAATTAAATATGATTTCTCTTTTAATATATTATTCATATAATATATTAATAAACCATAATAATCTCTTTCTCCGTTATTCATCCAGTCAAGTTTGCTTTGGTGAAGGCAACCCAAAAGGACCATGCTATAACCGGGTCAAGTACATACCAAATATAGTTATGGCTTAGACACCTAGTCCAACAAAGAGTTCATATTATTCATGAACCCTAGATTTGTCAATTGAGCATTGGATTAAAAATGTGAATCGAAGTTCACATTATGATTCAATTAATTCTATGTATCTTAAATCCTCAGTTGAAATGAATTTATTGGATCCAAAATGATCTATACATGATATGATAAGTAGGATATTGCAATTTGAAATGATGAACTACCATTAGAATGGAATGGGTGATTCTAGTTATGAATCATGAGTGATTTGCACAATAATTTATGGAAATGGAATGTAATTAGTGGTCAAGCTAACTTAAAGAATCAAGATCATGCAGTTGGAATGATGATAAATGAAAATAAGGCCAAAGTTGCAAAATAGGTTCATAACATCACCAAATTGAATTTTGATGGAAATAGGTGCATTTCATTCCAAGTATGCAACAATTATGTTATGTTAAGATGATAATGAAGTTTAAAATAACATTAATAAATGTTAAAAGGTAATTAAAGTTGGATATAATTGATGTATGGAAGGGTAGAGGTCACAAGATAAAGTAAAAGAAAAGAGGAAAAAATCATCATTTATGGGTTGTATAGAGTAGACTTGAGCGGGCCTGGCTTCAAAGTAAATGAAGCTCGAACATGCTTTATCTTCTGGTGATTCCAAGCCCTTCGAACTTTGTCACCAAAATTGTTTTGCTCATAACTTTTGCTTACATACTCGAAATCACACATCATTTTTTAGAAGGCGTATGACTATATCAATTGGGATTATTTGGATTAAATCATGAGTTTTATGGGTTTTGGCAACATGTAGAGATCGTGGATTCGTGGTATGTTTAAAAATGCTAAATCATCGGTACTTTTGATGGTAATCCTTCTAGAGAATTTTAGTTTTTCAGAGGGTTAATGTAGGGTGATCTAATTTATCCTTTATTGTCTATTATTTCCATGGAACGTCTTCATGTGACAATTATGGATGTTATGAGGGATTGTGTGTTTCGATGTGTTCCTTTGGGAACAAGAGACTTACTTATTTCTTATATTTTTATGCAGATGATGCTCTTTTTATGGGTGAGGGGATGAGAGAAATGTGTGTAATCTCATTTGTATTCTTTGGTGTTTTTATATGGTTTCATGTTTGAAGACCAATCTCCTTAAATCTTTGATTGCTAGGAGTGGGGGTGACAGAGACCGAAGTTTCTTCATTGGCTACTTTTCCTTTTATTTATCTTGGAATCCCAAATGGGGAATCTATGGTGCAAGTAAAATGGTGGTAGATGATTATTAATTGGTTCAAGAGAAGATTATCGTCTTGGAAAGGGAAATTACTTTCCATTGGAGGTCGGCTGACTCTTACCAATCTTTATTGGGAAGCCTATGTATCTTTCTTCTCGATGTTTAGACCTCCTTTTGCTATTTGTCATTTATTGGAGTCTTGTAAATCTCTTTTTTTGGGGGGTGGGGGGGGATGGAAGAGGATTAGTGACATATTCATTGGGTTAAATGAGATGTTGTTCTCAACTTGAGATAAAAATGAGGGTTATGCATTAGTAGTTTGGATGCCTTCAACCTTGCACTTTTGCACTTTTGTATAAGTGGAGGTGGAGATATTTGATGAAATGAACTTCTCTTTTGGTTAAATGTATTAAATTTTTGTATGAGGAAGATGGAGGTTTGAAGGGTGGGTTTCAGTTTTTAGGTGGAAGAGTGTGGAAAAAATCTATTGGCTCAATTAATCAATTACATGAAAATGATGTTATTCTTAGTAATTCTATGGTGCTATCGTGAGAATGGGGCTTTGGCTAAGTTTTAGACGGATGTTTGGTGTGGGGGTTTGGTTATTAAGGATCACATTCATAGACATTTTGCTTTGTCTACTTCGAAAAATGCTTTTGTTTGTGATTTTTGGTCGGGTAATGGGTGAAGATTTGATTGGAGACGTCCGATTAGGGGAGGAGGAGAATCTTTGCAAATTTATTTGCCCCGGTTAACATTAATGTTTTTTTGGAGATTGTTGTTAGACATGCTTCATCTTAGAAGTAATTTGATGGATAAGTGTATGGAGGTGGATTCAGTTTTATGCCTTATTTGTCAGCTTGAGACGAAGAATATTATTCATTTGTTTTTTCAGTACACGACGGCTTGTCAAATTTGGGAAATGGTAGCTTTGTGGCTTGATTGCAAGTTCCATCTTTTTCTTTGGTGGTGTTTTTTTTTTTTGGATTGAGGATCACCCGAAGGTTAGAATGCAAAGATCAATTGTGGAGTCGATTTTTATAACTATATTATCGGGTTTTTTGATGTATCAAAATTTTGTTATATTTCGACCGTATGACTGTACAAATCAATTTACTTTTAATACTATTGTTGAACCTTTTTTTTGTTGGTTTTCTTTTAGAAACTCTAAGATTAAGATTAATTTGATTACTTGGTTGAAAAACCCAATTATACCTTAATTTTGTATTTACTAGCTCCTTGCTAGTTTTTATTTTTTTATATATAAAATCATGTTGGTGTTAAAAAAAAATGGTTATGTACAAAATAGTAAGGATGTCCATCAAATAAATTATTTTGGGTTTTTAAACCTAGTTTGAGTTTTTAAGGGTTCATGATGAGTCATTTCAATATCTTTAATTTCACTCTTTATATTATTAATATATTATCATTTTCTATTATTTTCACTTTATCTCTTAACTATAAAAATAATATTTTCTCACCCCTCCTTGTCCTATATAATCGTATGTGCATTGATAATTTGTACATTGCAAGTATCACTACATATAGAATGGAAAGAAATATTACAAGATGTTCATGAATCTTTCCCCGTTCCGAGATCAAAATCTTTCATACAAGGAACACCAAAATAGTGGTCTCGATGGTATTGGATCCTATTGTTCTTGTCTCTAGCCGATCCTACTCTCATACCATCTCCTTTTAGGTTTTACGGTTTGCATGAGTTGATTTGATTTAGTTTTGTGAGTTAAGAGATTATACTCAATGGTGGTGAAATTTTGGTTTAAAATTTAATTACTTGATAAATTCCTAATGTATTTATCATTATGTGATTGTTAAATTTCAACACTTTTAAGTATACAAATCGTAAATAAATTAAATTCTACAGATGCCCTAATCTCGTAAGCTATAAGGCCTTGAATGACAAAATCAACAACTAGAATTGATATAAAGATTGGTTTTTAGTTTTTACAATCTTTTTATCATAATGATTTTTGGAAAGATTACGTACAACTTTTCTAACATACGCCTAATTCCACATCCAAACCCTCCTACATACTTGCTTAAGCTTGTGCAAACCACGCTTACAAAATAACCCTTGGCGTAGAACGCACATCCGTCTACACATTAGAATCCATTCATCAGTCTTGGTGTCTCTCTTCGAGTTCGTTGTTTTTCCCCAAAACCTCCCCATTTCTTCTTCACCAACGACAATAACAACATCGGAGCACCAAAATGTTGGCTCGTCTCGCATCCAAACGGTTGCTCGAGATCCGTCAAGCTTTCCGTCAATCCCCTCAGGTTTATCCCCAATTCCTCGATACAAATTTGTATATTTACTTTTTTGTCGCCTAATTTTCTGATTTGTTGATTCGTTTCTTCAGACAATTCGATCGTTATCCACTGCCCTTAACTATGTAAGTTCTACTTCTAATCTGTGTTTTCTTGCATCTAAAAGTTTTGATCTTGATTCGACTGGTGGTACTTGTGCTTTTTCCGATTTCATTGACCTTGTGTTCTTCTTGGTGTTTGCTTGTGCAGCATATTGATACTCCCGAAAATAACCCCAACGTTCCTTGGGAATTCAATGAGGCTAACAAACCAAAGGTTTGGCACTGATCTTCTTCTTAAATCAACATCTTTTTTTTCTAATACAGTCATTAACGATTTATAGAGTGCCTCGTATAATCTAAAGCTGAGCGTGCACTTTGTGAAGGAATGTGGTACTGGATAGCAATTTAGAAATTGGGAATTTGTGTCATAGTTCAGAGGGTTACCTATGAATGATTTGTAGGGTTTCTCAGTTAATTTTAACTTTATATGTTTAATGAGTACAGTCTGTGGAAATGTCTGGTATTTAAACTGGTGTATGTAGAGTATCAGGAGCAATGAAAGAACTGAACAATCAAAGTCTATATAGAGACAGAACTGTCTTTAAATAGCCTTACACTACATAAAAAGACTTCAACTAACCAAAGACCCTAAGAAACCCTTAAGACCATACCTTTTTTCTACAACACTTTGACATAGCAATTACTTTCAACAAAACCTTGCTTGAACTAATTGCCTCTGATGAAAAATTAGTTCAAATCAGAAACAACAAAAACACAGTTCCTTTCAAAGCTTTTGTAAAATCTGTAGCTTGAGAGTGCTCTTGTTATCTTCCATATGTCCAGCTCCAGCATAATCATTATCTGTAAAGAGCACCAGATGTGAAGTGAAGTCTCTCTCCCCATTCTAATTCTATTCATTGCTTTTCTTGTACCCTTTAGATTCATTATAACAGCCTTATTTGAAGCTGTTACCATATCTCTTGTGATGTTTTCAAGTATATGAATTCATGAAGGATTATTTGCTTCTTCATTCATGCAGGTAAACGAGATTTTATCTCACTATCCCTCTAACTACAAGCAATCTGCAGTCATTCCACTGCTAGATCTTGCACAACAACAACATGGTGGTTGGCTTCCTGTTTCAGCTATGGATGCGGTATGTATGTTATGTTATGTTTGCATCATTATATCTATATGCAATCCTTTTTTACATATTATCTGTACATGAACATCCTTCTTTGTATTACTTGAAGGTGGCTAAAGTTGTAGAAGTTGCTCCTATCCGTGTGTATGAAGTTGCTACATTTTATTCCATGTTTAACAGAGCAAAGGTAAGGAAAGAAGGACACATATGTAAATTTACCAACATTAAACACAAAATTTCTATCTCAATTCTCAAATTAATGGTTTTTGTAGGTTGGCAAATACCATCTTTTGGTCTGTGGAACAACTCCTTGTATGATCCGTGGTTCACGTGAAATTGAAGATGCATTATTGAAGCACTTGGGAGTCAAACGAAATGGTTTGTATTATATATATATATATATATATATATATATATATATATATATATATATATATATATATATTATATAAAGTATATTCACCACTAAAAAAATCAGTTTATGTGATTTTTACAAATACACATTGATGGATCTATGCAGAGGTGACAAAAGACGGGTTGTTTTCTGTTGGAGAAATGGAATGCATGGTGAGTCACGTTTTGAGTATATAAATGCTTTTTTTTTTGTCCTTAATTATAGTTTTTGAATCTGTATTTCTTTTTTAATTTGTGTATTATAGGGTTGCTGTGTGAATGCTCCTATGATAACTGTGGCTGACTATTCAAATGGATCCGAAGGATATACCTATAACTACTACGTGAGGGAGCATCATAAATTACATTATTACCCTTTTAGTCATTTTAATGTATAACGAGAAGTATTAAAACTTGGGAATTTTGCAGGAAGATGTTACACCAAAGAGAGTTGTGGAAATCGTGGAGGCGTTAAAACGAGGAGAAAAGCCACCTGTAAGTCACAATATACATTATTGCCCTTTTAGTTTTTTTTTTTGTATGTTAATTTGTTTTGTTTTTTGACAGCATGGGACCCAGAACCCGGAGCGCATCAACTGTGGGCCCGCAGGAGGGAATACTACATTGCTGGGTGAGCCAAAGCCTCCTCCATGCCGTGACCTAGATGCCTGCTGAACAATTAAATTATATATCTGCCAAATGTTTAATGTTGGACTTGATAAAATAATTCTTTGGCTTTGAATGTTTGACCTGCATCCATGAGTCAAAGCTGTTGTTGACATTATTTGAAACGCATAAGACACCAAATTTTTGAATCCACTCTCTTTCCCATTTATAATCAATTTGATTTTTGTCAAAAGTATTGTTTTCACCTTTTGATTTTTGCTAGTCTGTTACAACTTACAAGAAGAGAGTTAGTTTCTGGAAGCTAAGCTAGTGTATAAATAAAAGAGTTGAGGTGTAATAAGGGTCATCCGAAGATTTTGTAATTGAATTACAAGGGAGAAATAAAATCTAGAATCATTTTACATCATACACACGTCAGTCATTGTCCTCCAATAAATATTGAGTGTATCCTTGAGCCCCATGGTATACCATACTATCATATATACATCATAAGAATGTCTCTATTTCTTTCTCTATATTCCTCCATAAGGTGTTTTAAAATTCTATAAATAACTAATTTCTTAGTCTAATCTTTCTATCGGGACGAGATGCTTTAGTTTCATGCATATAAATATACTTCAGAGTTCAGACAAAGAGTGATCTTATCCGTTTAATCTTTGGTTGAATCTTTTGTCTTTGCATATTTGAGGGGTTTGATAGGAAACGTAGTCCCAACACACTATGGGTGGAGACTTGCACATATAATAACTTAGGATTAGGATGATATGATCTTTGTCATGCTGACCTCTGTTCTTTGATGCTTTTTCCCCACTAATGGAGCATTTGAATCTTGAAACTTAGTTAGATCTGTAGCCAAAATCGGTGATTCGATTTGAATCTTGAAACTAATGGATTGTTAACCTTTAGAATCAAACCCAAGACATCTTGTTTCATGATCAAAACAGGTGATTGGATGATTGCAACTAAGCATCTTGGTGTTGTCTATTTAGACGAAATGTAGGATAGAGATATCTATCCATCAAATCATGCCTATGTCTATGTCTGTCTATCATCTAATAAACCAAGATGGTACCAACAAAGTGATTGGCTCTTTGATGACTTTCTTGTGGTTGAAAGGAAAACTCGCAGGTACAATGTTATTGTACGGATTTATCATTTTTTTTTTACCAAAACAAGCCTTTATTTTAAGTCGAATACGAGTATCTTTTTTTTTTTTGGATGAATCGATAATATTCTGAGCTATAAGACCTAGAAACAGTTGATTAGAAACATAGAGCGTGATGTGCAAGATTGTTTAAAGAACATTAACCTTTCCAATTTCAAAAGTCAAATATAAAGGGTGGTGGTGGTGGATGCTAAAATAAAGCAAAGTAGACCCCAATAAAGTCTCTGCAATCTAATCACAAGATGCAAGACTCTTTATTGTCTATGGTTGATTGGTAATTGATAATCGTCCTGATTTCCTAAAAGGAAAAAAAAAAAAAAACATGTTTAATTTAAAAAATATATGTTATGCATGATTATATTATAAAAACATTTGGTAATCACACTAAGAGGATGGAAAAACCAATCAATGACACCACTTGAAGAAACAACAATAGTGCACTAAAAAAAGTCAATACTACTTTTTGTATACCAACCCACTCACTCTTTTGCACATCAACACTATTCACCATCTGAGACTTTTTGGGACAACCAACCATTATCCACTTACAAACATCACAACTATAATTGAAATATATAGATAGAGAGAGATATAAAATAAAAACATAACAAGTTTAGATATATATATTTATATATATGTATGAATGTCCCCACATTCCACTACCCCCAAAAATAAAATAAAACTTAAAAGCCTCCCCCCACTAGCAAAAGTGTATTAATCCCCCTTTTTCCTTAGTCATCCACCACTACCCTCACCAATTGACACAAAAAGTCACAACATATCAAGCAAAGGTTTGACAACTTTTACCTCTCCTTGAATCTTGTGGGCTTCCCATTATTCTTATAAAACATGATGAGATTGAGTGGTGGTGAAAGATAAAGCTACATATGAATATGACGCTGATTAAGCCGTGCTGGTGCTGTTCAGATTAAGTCATTCTGTCTAGATTTTATAAAGGGGGTTCGGATTCGGGTTTGATAATGGAGGTTGAATCGGGTGGTTGTGTGTGGTAAATAGCAGATGCGAGTGAAATAGGCATAATGCAAAGGGCCTTAGATTGAAGAAATTGCATTGCAGCCCCTACATTTTCTTCCATTAGCTTTGCTACCTGTCTTTCCGTCCCATCATTCGACCATTTCTCCCATGCCGGTTGGTTTCTTCCCCCTTCCCCCGCTTCCTCCTGTTCAAAACCGCACATCTTTGACTTTTAAAAAAGTCAAACTTTATAATTTGTGTATGTGACTGAAAAATAAAATAAAATTGATTTGTTACCTCAACCGATGATATAGGGATGTCAGTCACGAGTGGTGCTACAGCACTTGCTCCTCCCAATCTACTCATACTCAATACCTTAAAACGTATAATACAATAATCAAAAAATAAATCAAGAAAAACAATATAATGATGATATACATATATAAGTAAGTATTAATGATGAAAATAAAGATGTTGGTTTTGCTTTTTACCTTTACTTGAAGCCTTAGGAACTTGACATAGTCCACAATCTCGTCAAGCATTGCAGCTCTATCTGTCTGCATATTAAAAAAGTGGCTGAATTAGAAATAATGTCTTTCTTCTATGCTAAATAATGACCGTTTATTTAACCCTTAAATTCCAAAATCAAATTTACAAATATTCATTGAAGACTGACCTTATTGACACTAGGAACCAGTTCTTGTAATGCTCTGATTCTCTCTGCTATTCTTTCACGACGAAGCTGTTTCAGATATAACATATTTTTTGAATTCTTGGAAGATGCCAATCACAATTAAAAAAAAAAATAAATAAATAAAAAGACAGACTTACCCTTTCAGCAATACTGTGGGGGTCTGTGGCCTGGCCTCGCCTTGCTCTGACCCTCGTCGGACGAGCAGTTGGTGGATTTGGAGTCGTTTGCACCGTGTTACCACCGCCCATTGGCTGGCCTTGGAAACCCTAAACAATTAATTAAACAAATTTGGCATTGATTTACGGGAGAAAAAAAAAAAAAAAAGTCTTTAGCATGAAGTCAAATTAGATGTCAAACATCATATGATATATGATTATAAAATAAGAAAACCCGAATTGAATAAGTTACTCTCATTTTCATTTTCATTTTCATTGTATTGTAATTTAATAATAACATAAAATGACAAAACAGGAGGGATCCCACATGCATATATTCCGGTAAGCGAAAGGACAACTTTTTCAGATGATTCTACAGGAATTAATGGCAGGGGAAGCAGATGATCGAACAAAATTTTTGAAAAAAAATTTGATGCCAATTGACAAAAACAACTTTCTGATTCATCGAAAGTGAAAACTTATTATTATACGTATATTAACAGTAAATTTACCGAAGAGGAAACTCGGCTATCAACGACGTCGTCGCGGAACCTTTTACCACTTCCAGAAGCATCGTCCATCTTCAAAAACCCTCCTTTTCCATGTTCTAAACTCAACCCTAACGGAAAATGAAACCCTCCGCCTGCACCTCCACCTCCAACTCCAACTCCAACTCCACCACCTAGATGATGATGACCAGAGCCGACGTCACCGGCGGAGCTCAGCTGCAACATCATGGAGTTACCACCTGGTCCACCCATACCTCCTTCGTTTACCGCCAAATTGGGGTCGGTTGCACCTCCGGGATAAGCAGGGAACCCTAGGATTTGTTCGAAGAAGTCGTCAGCAGAGCCGTCGGAAGGATTGCTATTCGCCATGATTCCAGACACTTGAATCTAATTTAGACTTTGATTACAATGATACAAGAGCTAGGGTTTAAAAAGAGAAACTATCAAGAAATGCTGGAAGATCAACGAGCCACATAAATTGGTTTCGACACGTATATATATGTAACCAGAGAAGATATATATAGAGAGAGAGTGAGCAAGTAACAAAAGCTTTCGTTGTAATGATGTTTTTTTTACTATGTGACTGTGTGTTACAGAGAGAGAGAGAGAGAGAGAGAGAGAGAGAAAGAAGAGAGAGAGAGAGAGAGAGAGGCTATTTATCTTTCTTCTTCTTCGTCTTTCTCCGAAGCTTGAAAATAATGGAGGTCGGTTTAATATGGCGCCTGTTTTTGGTCTTATTTACGAATGTACCCCTTTATTTTAATTACATAACTAGTCCATGAACTTTTTATATTGTCTTAATTTTAATTCCTTAAAGTTTTTTTAAAGCCAACCATATAGAAAAATACAAAAAAATGTATATATTTAATAGTAAAATTTTCAAATCACATAAAAAATCGAATCTTTACTATTTTAATAATTAAATAATTTTTTTACACAGTTTTTTAGTTATTACCATTATTTATTAGAGTATACAAACTTTGGTCATATAACCATAAGAGAAAACTTGTGCAATTTTTTGTAATTTTCAAAACTTCGATGGCTAAACTAAATATTATGACTTTCACTTTGTTAATTTACTAGACAAACTACTCCCCCTTTTCAAAAAGAAAAGATAACATTTTTTTTCCTTGGATTGTCTGAATGATAAAAGATAAAGGTGTTATTTTTTCTGAAAGATTTTAACCAAAATTTAGAACGTTGCTCAATGCTCACTAACAGTTATCGTAGGGTACTTTGATATTGATCTTGATATTAATGCAGGATGTTTTCTTAATTTTATTAACATATAATTAAGGTATTTTATTAATAGTCAAATGAATTAGTTAAAATAAATTAAGCTACTATCAATTGACTTGTTCAAACTTCTAGGAAGGAGTAGCAGAGCATTCAGTTCCAGCATAAAAGGAAGCATTCCATCTTACTCACCAAAGAATTGTTATTGGATTGATCCGTGATGATTCCGTTAACAGCATAGATGAGTGTGTGTGTATATATATATATATATATATATATATATATATATATATATATATATATATATATATATATATATATATATATATATATATATATATAAAACGTTTTAGTTTTATGTCATTTAAAAAAAACAAATGTTTTAAGTTGGAACGAAGATCCATTAGCAATGGTAAGTTTTCAACGTATATGGAGACCATGATAGAACAAGCAACACACGATCTTTACATGTGGCAACTTTGGCTTGGACAAAGACACAAAGTGGGTGGTAAACTCAAATGTGTTTCATCCCTCGTGTTTAATATGATTTTAACAAAAGTATGTGGTGCTAAAATTGTCATATTGTCACCATATATAATTGTGGGTTTAAAAGTTAGAAAAGAGTAAGTCTCGAAATAATTTATTAGTATGTTGGCAACGATATGATAGTATGATACTCAACTTCAATACTAGATGTAACGTCACAAAAACCATGACAAATTTTTTCATTTTTATAAAACATTTTCACACAAAAAAATGCAAGATAGTCAAGTATTGTTTTCAAGTCGATTCATAGAATCATAGTAACAAATAGTCTCTTAAAATATAAATCAGCAGGATGATGTATATGATCACATATTTGTCTTGCCCCTCGATCATCTCATATACTTGGAAACATTGAAATCAACAACTATAAATCAAAGCTTAGTGAGTTCCTTCAAAATACTCAAGACAACAATACATATACAATGCATGCACACAAAGCCTACAACATATGGTTGGACACCCACATGAGCCTTCAACATTCAGTTGGACCGCTCCCAAGCCTAAAACATAAGCTGACTGCTCCTTTGGGCCTACAGTATCATCTAGACCGCCCGAGTATCTTAGCCTTCAACACAAAGTGGGATTGCCTCAACCCAACCACATGATGTCGACATATGCACATGAACAAATAAGGAACTAGCACAGGTAATCAGAACATATCTACTAATGCAACAATTCACTACTGTATACCAACATCCTATACACAAAGATACATAACAT